TCTGTTTGATTTCCTTTTGTTGTCTGATCATGCTGGCTAATGTTTCAAGAACTACATTGAATAAAATTGGTGAGAGTAGACATTCTTGTCTTGTTCCTGATTTTAGAGGAAATGTTTTTAGTTTTTCTCTGTCAGTATGCTGTTGGCTTTGGGTTTGTCATAAGTAGTCTTTACGATGTTGAAGTAAGTTCCATAGATCCCTAGTTTCTCCAGTGTTCTTAACATGAATGGATGATGGATTTCATCAAAGGCCTTTTCTGTATCTGTTGAGATGMTTATATGATTCTTAATTCTATTTATGTGGTGAGTTACATTTATTGATCTGTGTTTGTTGAACCAACCTTGCAACTTGGGATAAAGCCTACTTGATCATGGTGTATTATCATCTTAATATTTAAAAAATTTTTTTAGTTGTCAGTGGGCCTTTAATTAATTAATTTATTTATATGTGATGCTGACAGTTGAACCCAGTGCTTCACACATACTAGAAGAGTGCTCTACGACTGAGCTATGACACCAGCCTCTTAATATGTTTTTGACTGCAGTTTGCTAATGTTTTATTAAGAATTTTTGCATCTGTGTTCATCAGGGATATTAATCTGTAGTTTTCTTTATTTTTTTAGTTGTCAGTTGAGTCTCAGCAAGACTCAAACCCAGTGCCCCACACAAGCTAGGCAAGTGCTCTACCACTGAGCCACAACCCCAGCCCTTGGTCTGTAGTTTTCTTTCCTTGATGTGTCTTTGTCTGGTTTTTGTATCTGGGTTATACTAGCTTCATAGAATGTTTTTGGACGTGTTCCCTCCCTTTCAATATCATGGAATAATTTGAGAAAGACTGGTGTTACTTCTTCTATAAAGGTCTGTTAGAATTCAGCTGAGATTCCATGTGGTCCTGGGCTTTTCCCTTTTGGAAAGCTTTTAATTGATGTTTTAATGTCATTACTTGATATTGATCTGTTTAGGTTTTCTAGATCTTCCTGATTTAATTGGACAGGTTATAGTGTCTAGAAATTTGTCAATGTCTTCTAGGTTTTTCAATTTATGGTAGTATAAATTTTCAAAATAAATTCTGGTAATTCTGTGGATTTCAGAAGGTTCTGTGGTGATATCTCCTTTTTTTTTATCTCTGATCATATTTATTTGGTCACATTCTTTCTTTGGTTAGTTTGGMTAAGGGTTCATCAGTCATCTTTTCAAAGAACCAATTCTTTGCATTGATACTGTGTATTGTTTTCTTATTTTTTCAATTTCATTGATTTCAGCTCTGATCTTAATTTTTTACTGGTTTTGGAGTTAGTTTGTTATTCTTTTCTAAGACCTTGAGGTAGGGCATAGCTTATTTATTTGGCATTTGTTTTTAAATGGAAGCACTCAGTGCTATTTTTTTTTTAAAGAGAGTGAGAGAGGAGGGAGAGAGAGAATTTTTTAATATTTATTTTTTAGTTCTTGGCGGACACAACATCTTTGTTGGTATGTGGTGCTGAGGATCGAACCTGGGCCGCACGCATGCCAGGCRAGCACGCTACCGCTTGAGCCACATCCCCAGCCCAGTGCTATTAATTTTTCTCTTAGAATTGCTTTCATACTGTCCTAGAAATTTTGATACATTGTATTTCTGTTCTCATTTGTTTTTAAGAATTTCTTGATTTATATTCTCATTTAATTTTTATTTTATTTTATTTTAAAAATATTTTTTAGTTGTAGATGGACACAATACCTTTATTTATTTATCGTTATGTGGTGCTGAGCCAGGGCCTTACCCATGCTAGGCAAGCACTCTACCACTCAGCCACAACCCCAGCACCTATATTCTCTTTATTTTTTGATCCATTCTTCATTTAAGAGAGTCTTGTTCAATTTCCATATGTTTGTATGGTTTCTCAGGCTGGTCAGAGTTGCTGGGATTACAGTCATGCATCACTGGGCCCAGCTCTGCTTTATATATATATATATATATATATATATGTATATATATATGTGTATATATATATGTATATATATATATGTATATATATATGTGTATATATATGTGTATATATATATATATATATGTCTCCAAAGTTTTCCATATGTATATGTGTGTGTGTGTTCACAGTGCTATAAATTCAGTGCTATCAGTTCTTCTCTCAGCACTAATTTCACTGCATCCCACAAATTTTGATAGGCTGTATTTTCATTTTCRTTTAGTTTGATCCAATGGGGAAAAAAAGGCATTCTTAATTTCTCTTTTACTGTTTCTTATTTCTGGCATTTTCATTTGATTCTAAGAATTTCCATCTCCCTATATGTTAGTTTTTTATCATGTTATAATTTGGATCTGGAATGTCACCCAAAAASGCTCATGTATTAAAGGCTTGGTCCCCAGCTGTTGGCAGTATTGAGAGGTGGTGGAACTTCAGGAGGTGAGACCTAGCTGGAAGAAGTAGGTCACTGGGGGTATATCCTTGAAGGGTATACCTTGTCCTTGCCCACCCCCTCTTCTTCCAGGCTGCCATGAGGTGAGCAGCTGTGTTTCATGTTGTGTTCTCTGCTATGATGTTTTGCCTTGCTAAAGGCCCAAGAGCAATGGGGTCAAATGACTATGGATTGAAACCTCTGAAACTGTGAGCCAAAATAAATCTTTGCTTCTTTAAGCTAAAATTTTCAGGTATTTGGTTACAGCAACAGAAAGTTAATATGTTACTGTAATATAATACCTGAGATAATTAATTTTAAAAAATAAAAGAATTTTTTTTTGACTCACGGTTTAGGAGGTCCAGTCCATGATAATTACCTTACTGTTTTGGGCCTGTGGCAAGGCAGCACATCATCATGGCAGTGTGTAGCAGAGCAAAACCTCAGAGGCAGAAAGAAAGAGGAAAAGATGAGAGTCCCGTAGCCTCCTTCTGACTACCCGTCAATGACCAAGGTCTTCCCACAAGGCTCCTTCTCCTAAAGATTCACAATACCTCCTAATAGTGCTACCCTGGGAACCAAACCTTTAACACATGGACCTTTGAAGCATATTCAGGATCCAAATGATAGCACCCTGCATACACTATAATCTGTTCTTATGTGATATCTGTTTTTTCCTTTGGAGTTCTTTCTAGATTATTCAAAATTATTTTAATTTCCCAATATGATAGTTCCAAACTCTGCATCACATCTGAGACTAGTTTTTATTCTTTCTTTGGCTCATTAGGCTGTTTTTTTTCTTGCCTTTTATTAAGACTTGTGTGTTTTTTTTGTTGAAAAGTTGGACATGATCTGTTAAGTTATAGTAACTAAGGTATATAGGCTTTTAATGTGAGTTTTTAAAAATCAGTCTGGCTAGGAGTTAAACAGTGTTTATTGTTTGCTCTGGTTGTAGTATCAAAGGCTTAAGTTCCTCTTAGTTTCCTCTCCAACCCTGTTCCATGCCTTCTGTTGTCTTTAGTTTTCCGTAAGAACTCCATCTTAAAGTGTGTTGCATTTCTCTGTCCATTGTTATCAAATAGGAAAAAAGTCCAGTTACTGGCTTCTCTGGGTAAGGTGACCTCTACTGTGATTCTCTGTATTCACTTTTCTCTCCATGTTTAGGGGTGCTAAGTTGCCTCGTGACCTCAGTTCTTTGATGGATGTAGGAAAAGTCATTGATTTTCAGTGAGAATGAAAATGCTAGCTTCTAAGCTTGTAACATCTCTCAGGCTGGACATTTTAAATGGGTGATGACCTTACACATGTTCACATGAGAGGCAAGTTCAAAAGGGCTTTTCACCAGACACACTTCATTTAGGCATCAATCTATTTGGAGCTACCTGCTTTAACACTAAGTTTGTCACTGAAATTGTTGGTTGAGTCATTATTACAATACTTGAAAGATTTATTTTAAAAAGATTTTATAAGACCAAATACATTAGTTGAGAAGAGCTGAATTCATAATGAAGAATGAATGAAATGCTATTTATTTGTTATCTACTATATATTTGTCATCTACTATAGAATCATTTAGCTTAAATATATGTATGAATTTATATATTTATAAAATAACTTTATAGTTGTTCATTCACCTTAGCTCATTTAAGTCACTTTGGAGAATGTGGCCCAAGGAAATGAAGCTTCTGTTTATTATAATAGTAATTGGAAATTTGGATACAACATGCTTTCTTTTTTTTTTATTTTTTATTTTTAGTTGTAGATGAACACAATACYTTTATTTTACTTATTTATTTATTTTTTTATGTGATGCTGAGGATTGAACCCAGTGCCTCACACATGCTAGGCAAGTGCTATACCACTGAGCCTCAGCCCCAGCCCTGGAAACAGCTGGCTTTATAACAACAGGGAAATTAAGTAGCAACAATCCATATAACAAATTATCATCCTGCTTTCAATGTATGAAGTAAATTAATAATATAAAGAATTTTAAATAATATTAACAAAAAAGTAAAATTTACATATCAATATGATCATGATTGTATAAAAATTTTCACCAAGATTCTATGAAGAAATACATCAAATTAGTATTTTATTTTTTTTAAGTTGTAGTTGGACACAATAAAAAAATTTATTTTTATGTGGTGCTGAGGATCGAACCCAGGGCCTGGCAAATGCTAGGCAAGCGCTCTACCACCACCTCAGCCCTAGTATTTGTTTTTTGATAATGAAATTATAGATGACTTTCTTCTTTATTCACCTTTTACCCTCTATAGTCCAAATAAATTTTCCTCATTGAGCATGTAGTACCTTATTCATAATCAAAACAAACTTTATTAAATAAAATATATATCTGTGCGCAACTATAAATAATGTACCAATTTAACTATAGGATTGTTTTTATGTTCTTTTGCGTCTCTCCACAATACGAAATGATAAAGCTTTTAGCTGGTATGGCTGAAAAATGTTTTAGCATTATTCTACCTGAATTCTCTTCTTCTGTTAGTTTGCCTCAGTGTTTTCTGTTTTTGTTTTGATGTTCTTTCCTCTCATTTACTCTTTGTCCCCAGAATAACTGAATTGTTTTTTCTCTTTGTCATTCCCAGTTTTGGTCTATGGAGGCCCCCAGTCAGGGTATAGAGCCCCTCCTGCAGGATATGGAGCCTCCCCTGCAGGATATGGAGCCCCTCCTATGGCATATGGAGCCATTCCTGTAGGATATGGAGCTTCTTCTATGGGTTATGGAGCTCCCCCTCCAGGATATGGAGCTCCCCCTCCAGGATATGGAGCCCCCCCTCCAGGATATGGAGTCCCACCTCCTGGATATGGAGTCCCACCTCCTGGATATGAAGACCCGTCTGCGAGAAGCTCAAGACCTGTAGCCCCCCCTTCTAGATCCCCAGCTCCACCTGCTGGATCTGGAGTCCAGAATCCTAAAACTGTAACAGCACAGACTCCTGGACATGAAGCTTCTTCTCCCTCTACCTCAGCTTCTCCGGCCTATTCTCCCACTTCTAAAATGTAAACCTTGACCACTTATCAAGCAAAGCAGCACCCTAACATTGAAGTCAAAATAAGGGAGAGGATGCAGGTATACTGATAATAGGCCTATACTCCTTGAAAGGGCAATCGTAAGGTAAGACTAGGCTTTATTTCTATGCCTATATTTTATATTTTTAAACTAATTACTTAATTATTATTATTATTGCAGTTCTGGGCATTGAACCTAGGACCTCGTACATCTTGCACATGCTAGGTAAACGCTCTATCACTGAGCTATATATCTGCTCCCCCAACCCTCCTAGATTTTAGAAGCAGATTCATCTTTTGATTATCTAGGCTAAAGGAGCATTACAGGGCTATTTTGCCAATATTGCCAATAATTTGGTTGATTTTGGGCTGCATTTTTGACATTTTGTATAAGAGTTTGGAAAAGCTTCCTGCTTTTCTCCTCATCCCTATTCAAGAAACATTTATTATGCTTTCTTTATAGGCACTGAGACATGTGCTAAGAATATCATGATGAACACAGTTATTTTTCACATTTTTTTGTACATTAATGAAAGGATGGAATAACCTAAATTTCAAGTAATAAGAGAGAATTTTATACATTATGATATATTTATAAATGAAATATTATCCAGCTGTTGAAAATGATGTCTGGAGGTAGAGAAAGGAGCTTTTGAGAAGACCAAAAAGAAAAGGAAAGMGTGTCAAACTTGACTATGTCAAAATTTAAAACTTAAGTGTAATAAAAGTTAAAAGATAGACAGCAGGGGCTGGTGCTGGGGCTTAGCAGTAGTGCACTTGCCTGGCATGAGTGAGGCACTGGGTTCGCTTCTCAGCATCACACATAAATAAATAAAACAAAGGTCTATCAACAACAACAAAAATATTTAAAAAAAAGACAGCATGTGGGGAGCCACTCTGAATGACTCACGCCTTCCATCCTGAAGTGAGAGGCTTTGACCACTACATTTTGTAGTGATCTGGGCATTGTCCTGGTTCAGGAAGTTGAGGGCGTGTCTTCAGACGTAGGTGACTCCCCTTGGGTTGAATTATAATTATAATCCCTTGTAACCCTGCCCCTTCTGGCCTTTTTTGGATGGAACTTTCTAAGAACAAGAGTCCCCCCCAATAAAAGCCCACTATCGACCATGCTCTCTCTCTCTCTTGCCAGCCTCTTGTGACTTTCTCTTGCTCTCCCATTTGGGGAGCCTGAGGCCGAGAGAGGAGAAACCATCCTGAAGCTTGTTTAAAGGTAAAGTATCTGTCTGTGTTTTATTTGGTGTCCCTGGAAATTCGTACGAGCTTAAGTTCAGCTACCCGCGAGAGTTGGGGGCAGCAACAGCAGACTTGGAGAAAATCATTTCCAACATATAGATTAATGAACAAATGATTTATAGTCAGAATATATGAAGAACCACAAATCAACCCCAAAGGGAAAAAATGGACAAAAGATGAATTTCCAATTAAGGCAATAACGTGACTGAAAAATATTTCCAAAGATACTCAACTTGACTAGTGTTAGCAAAATGCAACCTGAAATAAGAAATCATTTTAATCTCCAAAGATTTGTAGATATCGAGTGACCCCGAACAGGAAGAGGACAAAAAAAAATAACCGTCAGCAACACCGAGTCAAACTGGACCCGCTGCTACCATGAACAGCAAAGGTCAGTATCCAATGCAGCCAGCCTACCCAGTGCAGCCTCCTGGGAATTGGTACACCCTCAGACCTTGCATCTTCCTCAGGCTCCTCCCTTGCTGATGCTCCACCTGCTCACTCAGAGCTCTATCTTCCGAGCTTTGTGCACCCAGGGGCCACCACATTCCCTACCATGTCAGCTGCATCCCTGGCACCTCTCTGTATCTTCCCATGGCCCAGTCTRTGGCTGTTGGGCCTTTAGGTTCCACAGACCCTATGGCTTATTATCCAGTTRGTCCCATCTCTCCACCTGGTTCAACAGTGCTGGTGGAAGGAGGGCTTATTTCCCCATTGCCCCTGGGGGCAGTATCATCCCTGTGGAGAACCACCATTCTATACTATTCCAAAGTTTTCACCCCTTCAGAGCTACCATTCTTCCACTCTGACCAAGTTTCTAATTTCATTAATCTTTCTTAATTATCTTATAGGCTCATCAACTATGAGGCTTTAAAAATATTATACCAAGTATTTAGAAGCAGAAGTATTTCAGGAGCTCTAAGTCTGTAATATTACTGGACTCACAAGACTTTTTTTTTAAAGGTTTTTAAAAAATATTTATTTTTTAGTTTTCAGCGGACACAACATCTTTGTACATTTAAATCAATATTTTTTTTCTGTATGTTTTGTATATAGTTGAAGCTATGCTATATGTACAGCTTTTCACCTATAATTATTTTACATTTGCATAGGTTAAGAATGTCTCAGAAATATTGCTAGTTGGTACATAATATTCATTGGCACAGTTGTACCATAATATATTTTTTCAACCTTATTTTAAGTTATTTGAGTTTTTATCAGGCTTTTGCTATTATGAACAACTTTGTAATTAACTTCTTTGTATATAGAGCCTTTTAAAATATTTGAATGATTTCCTTAAAACAGGTTAGAGGCATTGATTCTCCATGTAAGAATTAGGAAACCAGATTCTTCTATGTTGTGCAGGACAACTTTCCCCAAGGAAGTCAGGTAAATATTAGTGGGTGTTATGTGAAGAGGGGGTTATTGGGTCAAAATCTATCTGGTTTCTTCACAGTTTCTCAGAGTCTCGAATATGCTAATGAATGCCATAAATCTCTAAGAAGGAGAGATTTTCAAAATTTATTTTTCCAAAGTTATTTGACATTAGATTATGTTATTCACTAAATAGTGTAGAAAAACTATTAGTGAACAAACTTTAGGAAACACTTTCTGGAATGATGAGACATTAGAGTTAGAATGGCCCAGTCTGTGGCTGTTGGGCCCTTAGGTTTCACAGTCCCTATGGCTTATTATCCATTGCAGCTGTCTGGAGTTGCTGAACCTTAAAGCTCTTTCTAACAGTGAAGAGAAGTTAAAGACCTTCTTCCCATTCCAGAGRAAAAGAACTTCAATTCCAATTTACAGAGAATGGGAGACCTTCTTTAAAAAGATATATGATGGACTGGGATTGTGGCTCAGTGGTACATTTAAGTCATGTGGGAGGCACTGGGTTCAATCCTCAGCACCATAAAACAATAAATAAATAAAAGTATTGTGTCCATCTACAAGTAAAAAAAATTTAAAAAAAAGAATACATATGGTAATATGGAAAGTAGCTGCTGCTATCACTTTGAAAGTATTGTCACAGAGTCATGGGTCTAGGCGGCTGGAATGTCAATAGCATGGAGACTGCCACTTTGCCTAGGTAACTGACAGAGGAGAAGGGAAAATATAGCTATAACCCTTTCTCAAAGCTCCAAACAGGGAATCCAGACCATGCTACATATTGAACACAGGCCACAGATCTGACTCTTTCTCCAAAGTTTTTAYAGGAAATTGACGATATATTTTTCTTATAAGAATGTTTCTTCTTACTTCCAAACCACTGTACATGGGCAAAAATGACAAAAGAGGAAGAAAGGAGAGATTCTTTGAGCAGGAATAAGGTTCCCCATGTTCAACTTTTCAGTGTCTGCTGGAATATGACGGTGAGTTGGGAACAGGGTGTGGCCTCTTTTATACCTTAATAGTTCTCTAAATAACTGATATTTTGCAAACATATAGGGACTTGAAATATAAAAAGTAAAAATTCAACTTTTCTCCTCTTCCTTCCAGTAGATTTGAGGTAAGGTCCAATTATCTAGAAAGTGTAGCAGGCCTGAGTCTCCTGAGAGTGGGAGACTTTCATGTTCTCTTCTGCTAAAGGTACCTGTTCACCTGGTCCACCAAGCTGCTATTTTTCCACCAAGCTGGCTATTTGGGACCAAGCAGAAYCAAGTGTGGTTCCACATGGTACTGTGTGGCATACCTACTGTTAGCTATCACTGCCTGGTACAATTATTTCCAAAAGATTGAGTCAGATTCTTTCTATAAGAGGTATTTTTTATGAGAAGTGCTTTGTGTCCTGTATATTCAAAGGGACTGTTCGTTCTGTTTAGGACAAACTCAGTAAGCATTTAGCTGGGCCTGCTACAATCTCAAAGTACTCATTGGGTCCTTATGACACCCACTGATATTTTGAGTACTTTCTTTCTTTTTTTTTTTTTTATACATTTACTTTATTTATTTATTTTTATGTGTTGCTGAGGATTGAGCCCATTGCCTTACATATGCTAGGCAAGTGCTCTACCACTGAGCCACAACTCCAGCCCCTGGGTACTTTATTTTTGTGCTTGTGGATTCCACTCTTCTTCCTAACTCTTCCCTGGCTGTGATACAGAAACTGCTCTATTGTCTATTCTGTCTCCTCATTTTGTATTAGAAATACAGAGATGGAAAGAAGGCAAATACTGCCTGCTAACCAGAACTTTTCCTTTCTCAACAATGAGGAATCAGGGAAAATGTATAGCTGGTGTGATTTTTTTTTCAATCCGTAGAACACTAGGTGAAGAAAGAAATATTTCATGTCTGTTTTCCTTAAATTTAATTCTGTTACCAGGACCCCTTTCATCATCTACCTAGTTGGTAGGCTCCTCACAAATTCCAAGATTATGCAAAAGTATCCAGATTTTATGTGGTGTCAAGTTGCTGAAAAGGCGCGGCCAGTCATCACAATACTTCTGAAACAGCACTGTCCAGTCTGGCAGTCCCATCAAGTCTGAGAGTGTGGCATTTTCCTTGTTACCCCAGAATCTTGGGTGGGATTGTAACATAAGATTATGAATAGTTGTGACTCTATGTGCCATGTTGCCCCTGAGGACTGTGGAGCTGGAGCCCAACACCTATTCCTTGAGAGACTCATAATTCCTTCCCCCACCTCCCAGATTTTCATTTCCCTGCTATCCTCTTTGCATCCCCTCTACTTTTTGAGCATTGGTCTTTTTTTTTTTTTTTTTTACAGAATACAAAGAGAAGTTTATT